TTATCTTACATAACAAGAAAGATAAGTTATTTTGCCTCTATTATTTCAGTTACACTTCACAATGAATGGATATTTGGTAATACACATTGCCCTGAAAATAATGCCACTCATATTACTCTTTGTTGTCTGCATAGTAGTAAAATATTCTGTCTATAAGACAGGATTTTCTGTTGCTTTGTTATAGATAACACTTGAAGGGCAGTCCTGAAAATGGTGTCTGTCTTGAAAGTGCATTAACGAAAGATAACACCACATTGTAAAATGGTAGCTATTGATATTCATTCACTGATGGTTAACAAAAGTCTACGGTGACCATAGCGTGAATGTGAGCACAGTTAACGATCAACCACGGTTATGAAGAGCTCGTATTGGTCACTGGGGAAAAAGTATATACAGTGAAAAAATAATGTTTCATATCTGAAAAGTTGCTTTAACCAGTGATGATATTCAACTCACCTGACATGAAGTTTCTTTGAAATTGTCCATCGTACTTATATATATATATATATATATATATGTGTGTGTGTGTGTGTGTGTGTGTGTGTGTGTGTGTGTGTGTGGAGTCATCTGTATATGTACATGCATACATACATACATACATATATGTACGCACATATTTACATATTTATATTTCAAACGTTATTGTAGTAGGCACTTCGAATTTGAAATAGACGCGCCATCATTTTATTTGTTAAACATTGTGTATATCACCCTCCGTATTCGAGAAATTCAATTAAAGAAGATGCGTACTCCACCAGGGAGTGAAACTGCGTCCTTTGTAGGGGAAAGCACAGTCTGTTCAGACATATTTTACTGCACGTCCATGAAAAAGTCAGAAAAGCAAAACTCTATTTTCCTCTTTTTAAGAGAACTTCCTCTTCGCTGAGATTATTTTTCTCGAAAGACACTGTGTTTAATAATAATAATAATAAATTAAAAATAAATCCATTAATTCTTTTCTCTCTTTCTTAAAGAGCAATATTAAAGTTTACTGGTCTATAGATCGGAATTTATAACGGAAATGCGCTTCGCAAGGAAAACCGTTTTCATTGGAAACTGAACTTTTTAAATGGCTTTTCCTTGAGAGCATTTTCTCAGATTGTTTTTCGTGAATAAATTCAAATATAAATTTAAAAGATATTCCATTATTCGCTAACATTAATTCATAAATGCATCTTCGTGGCTTTTAATACCTATTTATACCATATTTATTCGTATAAATAATCGTGTGTACGCATTTTGACATATACCTATGTAGTTATTTGGGCAGCAATCCCTTGTTATTGTATGTCTCGTTAAAATGAATGTCGTACAACATACAAGAACTGAGACTTGAACAAAACTTCCCTGGCAATCTTTTTTTTAACGAAATATGGCTAAGGTAGCTGTCGGTTATTTCAGCTAGTATGACCATCATTGACAAGTTTTTGGTTGGCGTAAGAATGACAATGGCTTTTAGAGCCTAGACATGAATTGAAATGGTTATTGCAGATGAGGCTAACTGAGTTGTTTTGTACAGGACCTGGCCTATTTTGTAAAGTCTGTTCGGCTTACTAGTGGGTTTTCATGCGATAGGCCAGAAACTTGGATACACACACGTACGCACACACACATACACATATATGTATATATATTCACATAATATTATATTAAAAATTACTTATTTTTATTTTTAAATATCAGTTTTTCGCCCAAGAAACTTTTTATATATTATATTAATTTTTAATATCATTTTAATATTGAGAACTATATACAATTATATCTGCCCTTTCTTAAGTCATAAATCGTATATATATATATATATATATATATATATATATATATGTGTGTGTGTGTGTGTGTGTGTGTGTGTGTGTTTGCTTAAATACTTTAGATGTATTATGTTTATTTATTCAAGTTTTTAATATTTTCAAATCCACGAAGTAATTACTTGGTGGCGCTAGAAATTGATTAACAAAAAATTCTAAAATTTTCTCTCAAATAATTTAACGCATAACACTTCTCTAGTTATGCAAACCCCTGAAGATGGCCTCAGATGAGATTGAATGTACTTGAACAAAAATTCCAAAATTATTTGAAAGAAAATTTTAGAATATTTCTCAATTAACTTTTCTATAGCCACCAAGAAATTAATTCGTCTTATTAAAAGAATTAAAACTAAAATAGACATAATACGTCTAGATTATTTAACCAAACATGTCTGAATGGAAATATGCTAACTATATATATATATATATATATATATATATATATATATATATAGTCGACTCTCCCGTCGAATTCGACGTATGAGGGTCAAGCAGAAACCGACAGCCCGACAACAGCACAAGAGATTTGTTTATAATGGTGAAGGTTTTGTGCAGAACCATCCGCACTTTTTGAAGGCCCGAACATAGAGACCTGGTGCATTACGTGCCACAAGGTCCCCAAACAGTCCTCCGCAGGTTTTGAATTCAGAGCTGTTCTTCTCCTAGACCAGTTGCCATCCAAGGCTATAGAACCCAGTCTGTCCTGCTATTTACCCATAGCTGGAGGGAGAAGAAGAGGATTCACAAACTTTCCCAAGTTTCGTAAGTGAATGTAATGGATTCGACTGGAATTCGAACGGCTCTGCGATTCCTCAATCCAAACCGCTGTCAATTACTCCACTATATATAGCCTGAGTTGCGTTTAAGCATAAATTAACAGTCGCAATATCTACACATGCTCTATACCTGATATTGAGCATTTCTACTGATAAATATAGCACACCATAAAACACTATATATATATATATATATATATATATATGCAAAAATGAAATTGTCAGAAAGATTCTGTGCAAAAACTTGTATAGACTAAAATAAGTATTGAGAAAAGATACCTAATATTTATATTTGTAATACGTGAATTTTTTTGCAGAGAAATATTGAAATTAAAACTGTGCTACTTACAATTAAATTTTCAGTGTTTTTTCCAGAAAGATTTTTTGTTTTACTTTTTTACATTAACCGGTTTCGCTTAGCTTTTCAAATTTTATTAACTGTTTATATCTCCACATGTTGACGCTTATGTTTTGAGCAAATGAAAGACTCAAGGAGCGTAACTGGCTATATATGTCGCTTATGGTAAGGAACATTTGATGGAATCTATGCAATGAAGTATTGATTTGAACTTGTTGATGAAAATGTTTCTTTATTAATCCGCCTTTGTTCAGTTATTCTGTAGTCGCACTAGTAGAATGGGAAATGTGGCATATTTTGTTCTCTGGGTTCCTCTATATGTTAGCTAAGGGGTATTCTTCTGGTGTGGGCATCCCAAATTTGTTGGGGATGAACTATTATGTATTGCAAGAGGGACTGGCCGGTTAGTGCTCAATATTAAAAATATTAAAAGTAATATAAAAAATGGAGCGTTAATAATATTATATAAAAAGATTACTTGGGAGAAAAGGTGGTATTTAAAGTTAAGTAATCTTTTTTATATAATATGCATGTTCATATATATATATATATATATATATATATATATATGTGTGTGTGTATGTGTGTGTTTGTACATAAGTTTATACATATATATATATATATATATATATATATATATATATATATATATATATGTGCACACACACCCAAAACAATATATATATATATGTGTGTGTGTGTGTATGTGCCGAGATATATAGATACCTATGGCCGTGGAAAGTCAAAGCCGTGAATTGTGTTCAAACACTGATCCATCCACTTTGCATATAAATCCATTTCTGTACAACCCCAGCTATGGATTATATAACTGTAATTCTATAGCTTATGGTGGAAGCCATACTGGGAGAAGACTAACTCCAAATTCGAAACTTTGCAAAAGCAATGGGAAATCACACCACTCTCTTTACCAAGAAGCCGTATTAATTTATAGATATTAAATTAAAGAAAGTTGTGGAGTGCCACGAGCGGCAACACTCTTTTCTGATGAAACATTTAATAATATTAATCATAATGACAACTATATACTTATTATAGACTTATTATCTTAAACTGTTATATATTTACAAGATAATGTTCAAAGATTATGGACCAATCAAAGAAACGAATAAAAAAAATTGTAATATTTGAACATTTGATCATATCGATGAAACAGGGTTAAGCCGAGAACTTTTCATAGCCTTCTAGTAGATTCTAAGAGAATACAGGCATGAAAGCACTCACAGAAATGGACAGACGGATATATATATATATATATATATATATATATATATATATATATATATATATATATATATATATATATATATATATATATATATATATATATAATCTGTTTTATTATCTGTTTTATAAAAGAAATATGATAAATCTCCTATTTACACGAATGTAATAAAATTAAAAAAAATATCTGAGAAACAAAACAAATGAAAATATGTCAATTCCAATGGAAAGGCAACTCATTAGGCGGAGTTTCAACATTTCTTCAGTAAAAAGAAAAAAAAAACCTGTTTTTTTTCAGTCTTTTTTATTATTCACTTTTTCATTCATTAACAATACTTTTCCTTTCCTATCTTCTCATTGTTATACTTTCTTCTTATACTTCTTTTCAGTATTGGATTTATCTTATATGAATGGCTTCATTTTATGTGTGAACACACACAGACACATTTACACAAGCGCACATATATAAAGAGGTAGACACACACTTATATATATATATATATATATATATATATATACTACTTACGTCATATTTGGGATGTCCGTTACGTTAATGTTGATTGCTGGCAAAGTATCTATCTATCTATCTAGTATAGTCATTACTATTTCAGTCTAGCTAGGTGGCTATGTATTTTAGTCTGTTTTTATATATTCATCTTAATTCAATTCTATCTATCTATCTATTGCAGTCTGTCTTTATATGTTTATCTTAATCTATTTCTATCATCTATCCATCTATCTATCTCGTATTTATGTATGTATGTATGAAATGAAGTACGGGTGGATGTATTTTTGTCTTTCTCTCTGCCTCTCTAGTTTTCTCTCTCTCTCTCTCTCTCTCTCTCTCTCTCTCTATTTACCGATGTACATAATCATATGCGTGCATAGGTACAGTTTTCTTCACTCATACTTAAATCAAATCATAGTAAATATTTTACATGTGTCTATCTGTCTCAACAGATTTACGCTCTCCTGTACCTACATACATACTTTCCTGAAAAATTAAAAGTAATGAAACTAAAATGTAACAATATTCACAAACGCTAACTGGTTTGTGTGCCCACGTCTGTGTATGCGCACGCACACAAATCATATATATATATATATATATATATATATATATATATATATATATATATATATATGTAAATTATTTGTATGAACACACACATATATATCCCATTTATACATATCTATACATGCGTTTGCACTAATTCTTTCTTTATCGACTTATCATTCTATTATTTAATCTATTCTTCCATTTTGTTATCTCGTTGGTCGTTTACTAATTCCGCTCTTTACAAAGCCTCTCCTCTCCCTGTAAGTCGCTTCAAGTATCTAACGAGAAATGAGTTCGGCGAAAAGCAATAAGCTGTTTGCCTGAAAAGCTGCACAAAATGGAGTCTCGTCGTATTTGTCGTCTGTCTGCTATATTCGAATTCCGTTGCTGAAATCGAAGCAAAGATTTCGAATGTTTCGAGGTTGTTCAACACAATAGCTTGTCTTTATTGGATTGTAACTTTTGTGCTAAGGACAATTTCTTGTTTTGTTGACGTCAACTTAAAAACAGTCCCGAGTTATATAGATTCAATTTATATGACTACATGTGTAACTGTCAGCTTACTTCGAGTTTTACTGATCTATATAATTCTTTTTTTCAATCTATCTATCTATTTATCTATCTATCTATCTATCTATCTATTTCAGTCTGTTCATTTTTATTTCTTTCTCGCATCTCTCTCTCTCTCATTATTATATATATATATATATATATATATATATATATATATATATATATATATATATATAATTCAAAACTTACCAAAAGACTTCCATAAAAACAGAGTAGGTTATTATTAATAACTATAAAAGCAAAAACTAAGAAAAACCTTCCACAAGAAAAAAATCACACTTAGAAAGAAGATGAAACACCTAAGCTGTAAATTACCGTGCTCAATGCCTACGCTGGATAGCCAAGGCATTGAGCACAGTTATTTACTGACCAAAAGGTACGGTTATTGACCGACTCGAAACCCTTCACAGCGTCACAACTCGTGTCGCTGCTTTAGTTTTATTCTCTTCGTGATCTTCAGTCGACAACAACCCCTAGTATATATATATATATATATATATATATATATGAAAAAGAAAAATTGTGTGAAAAAGCGAAGAAAGAAATAATCTTCAAAGAGTGCTCTCCAAATTTAAATACATTTTGTTATTGAGTATTTGTTTTCTTTCAAATTGAAAGAAAAGAGTTGCAAAGATCATTATGAAATAAATTCACACAAAACTATTTTGTTTTCTTTGTTTACAATACAACCGAGTCAGTTATGTTTGTATGACAGAAGGAACAGAGCCTATCTACATAAGGAGAGTGCTAGTATTTATGTTGTTTTATGAATGTGTATAATTTTCTAGTAGTCAGCATATCATCAGACAAGTAAGCTGTATGAAAACTTCTAGAAACTTTTTCTTTACAAAACTCCTTTTGTATGTTGGATGTGTGCTTAATTTACTTTCAAATCTATAGGGTTTGTAAGAAGTTACTCGAATAAAAATTATGAAATGTTGCGTACAAATTATAGGAATGATTTAAAAATTCGACTCGTCTGCAACAACGAACAACCGATCCTGGTTCACGGAAAAACTGAAAACTAGAGTTGTTAATTTATGCAATCGTATTTATACAGAAAAAATAGCTTCAACGATCTTAGTTAGATTTTACTAAACTCAGTTTTATTGGTTAATAAATAATTTTTCTTAATTTTGCAATATCTATAATCAATCATAAAATAATATAAATAAAGAAGCAAAATCCCTTGCAACACAATTAAAATTAGATAAAAGAATTAAACAATTAATGAAAGTAGAACCATTTATTAAATTAAAAGATCATAATGATCATTTTTCTAAACAAATCAACATGTAGATGATTAAATCCCACAAAAAGAAATATAGGAAAATAAGTAAACAGATAGTAGAAAAATATGTTCGAAATTAAGAAAAAATATTAAATATAAATCAATGGAAAAAATACAAAAGTATCTATTAATTGATTCAGCAATATTACAAATAAAAATTGTTCATGTATTCAAACAGATATAAAAGACTTTTATCCAACCATTACCAAGTATATATTAAATAAAGGATTAAATTTAACAATGCAACAGATGAACATTCAAGAAGATTTGGACATAATTAATCATTGTAGAAAATCATTATTCTACCACAACAATAAAATATGGCTAAAAAGAATAATAGCAATAATATAATAATAATAACTTTGGTGTATCAATGGGCAATTATAATGGCGCTTAAAGCATATCCATTCCACCTCTTACCATCTCCAGCTACACAACCCAGCCCACGGCAGTCACTTTCGCTTTGCTTGGACCCTTCACCCTAGCTCCCTTGCTACCCCAACCACAACCCTTTGTATTTTCCCAATGAATTCGATATGAATTTCAGTGTCAGTCGTAATTTTCACTAATTCACTATTGATACCATCAATAGCAAAATGCTTTCCCACTGTTATTTATCGATGCTGAAAAATTAAATATTAACCACCCCGATTTTTTAGTTGGTAGTAGACATCAAAACTTATACTAAGTCATTACTTAGTATGAATTCTTTCCCAGTTTTTTTTTATAAAGGTTAATAGGAGTAGATAGTCTCACTTATTGTCCAGTCTTTACTCATTTCATGTCTTTTGAACAAGAGTCGATTTTCAGCCTTTCTTCCCTGTTCTTTCTTTTATCACGGCCACTATGATTTAACTGTAATTACATTTTTGGGGATCGGACTAACTAGTGACTGTAACTTTCTATTATGAGGGTGGCCGGCTGGTAGTTTGCTGACTGTGGCTTTCTACTCGTCGTTAGTATCCCGAAATCTTTGGTAGCACTTAGAGAGGCTGCTCTGATCAACAGTCGCATAATATCAGGGTATTTGTAGTGCCATGTCACGCATGGGTAGGTGCCCGTGCATTTATTTCCGATGGGCAACTCTGAAGCCACATTATGCTTTGATCTTTGCTGGTTTGTACTGTCATTGACGACAGATAGTGACAGTTATGGTGGTCTTTTTCCTTTCTCCTCAAAACGTATTGCGTTTAAATTCGTACAGTCTAGGTAGCATAGCGAAGAGATCAAACGAAAAAATTACCATGATAGTATTTATAAAAATGGCATAAAGAGGCAACCTTACGCCGGTGAGAAAGTGACTGAAGCCGAGCCGACAGCTCTGCACAAGTAATATTGCTAATTCTTCTTCAGATATTATCAAGGAGCTCCCGGTAAACATAGCATAGGTGAATGGTAGAGAGATATGCAAGATAGATTCCGGAGGGAAAAATTGTCCTGCACGGCACAGTGAACCTACTTTCTTAGCAGCTGACCTAGCAATGGATTCAGTACAGGCTTTCCACTTCATTGTAGCTGAGACCTTTGCAACGAGTGGTTTTATTGGGGGTTAGCATCGGACATGCAGATAGAGGGCTGATACGGGTCTCCGAGATGATTAATGGAGAGAACTTTAATTGGCTCCAGTTAACGACGGTCGTTTTTGACACCAGCTGCCAGTGTGACCTTGTCGGACTGATGAGTTTTACAATCGAGGCCGGAGTAAATGGTAGTGTCTTTAGCGTACATGCCAAGTTGAAAGCTTATGTCAGCGGGAAGGTCGTTAATGGCGATTAAAAACAGCGCAGGACCAAGGATAGAACCATAGGGAAAACCCGCGTTAGTACAAAAGAAATTAGACGTGTGACCGTCCAGGAAAAAAAAAAACTTTCATTTCACAATTTGATTGAAACGTCTGTATCAGCGCAAAAATGTGGCCGGAGACACCGCAACTTTTCAATTTTTGGCTCTTGTCAAAGGCTTTCGAGTTCTACAGCCCGGGCTTCACTGTTTTTATCTAGAGCACGATAGAATCTTTCTGCAATTATCGTTAACACATCAGCAGTTGACCTGGAAAAACGAAAGCCGTTGTCTGAGAAAAGGCACAGCGTTTAGAAGGTAAAAAATTATATAATAAATTTCAATAATAAAATTAAATTATTAAAGAGAAAATTATTAATGGATAAAGTCAGACATTTTAATAAATATTTACTTTGCGTCTTAAATACTAATATAACATAAAATAATAAATACATGAAAAAATTAATATAAATTAAATAATAATAGAATAATTAACTGACAAATATAATAAACACAATAAACTACATACATATATAGAAAACAATCAAATATATATACACAAACAAAAATAAAAAATTTACAAATACATTTACGAATTACAAAATATACAATTGAAAAAAATGAAGTTTATGAATGAACACATAGACACATTAAAAAATGACGCAAACATGAAAATTTGAAAAATGGATATTCATTACAATTGAAAATATTTAATATATGAACTAACCTCTTAAAAAGTGTACAACTGTGAAGTCGGTGACATAACAACAAGGATTGTAATGGATTAGTTAATAATTCATCTGCCTATATATATATATATATATATAGAGAGAGAGAGAGAGAGAGAGACAGAGACAGAGAGACAGAGAGGAAGGGAGAAAGAAAGAAAGAAAGAAAGAAAGAAAGAAAGAAAGAGGATCTAACTTACGTCTATTTAAGACAAATGTAACACTTCATGGTCGATCCTGGTTCACAACAAACGTCAACGGATGTAATCTTTCGTCGGGGTCAGCCCGAGGTGTATCCTGATTTGATCAATGGAGTAATCTCTTTGATCCTGACCTGCCTTACCCCACGTTGTAATTGATATGATTATAAGGAGGCCAAGATCGATTCGTTGCAGGTACCTTCGTGCTGGGCTGGTCCAAGTCGAGCGAAGTCATACAATAAAACTGGAAAAAAGGGCACTCGAAATATATATATAAAAAAATATACTACTTTTACAACAATACTGCGTACAATGGTTCGTTAGTAGTTGTGTTTGCATTCAGGTATTTATCGAACCAACCCGTTCCTAAATCGGACGCAACACTTGAGAAGGCTGGTAAGTTTTGGCTTGCTCAGTTAGAGAAATTTGTTTTACTGTTTTGGTAAGTTTCGCTCGAGGCTGAAGTCAGAAGTTCTTGTGTTCGGCAGGAGTTGTGGAATCTCGCAGCGACCTCCACCTCTTCTCTTTTCAGCTCTCAAGTGTCAACTCGCAACTGTGTTTGAATGGCTTTCGCGCATTCATTTTTACGGACTCCAACTAGAAACAGGTGCGAGGCAATATATAATCTATTGTTTTTGGTCTTTGGAATTTTCATTCATAATGTTGGGGAATTCTTCCTCTCTCGTCAGGGATGATTGCAGGCATCACTCTCCATGGCTGCTTCTACTCTCTCTTTTTACCATCTCTCGCTATTGCCTTCCATTGGATGTGAGCATCTCCTTCAACCTCTCTTCTGTGCCTGCTATCCTTCTGTGGGTGCAGGCAACTCCTCATCCTTCCTTGATCGCTCTTCTGCGCCTGTCACCTCTAGAATTCGGTCGAAAGATAATTTAAAATTAAAAAGGGTTTCAAATGCTCTTATCTCATAAGTGAATTGACACCACAATTGGCTTTTCCGCCTTTGGCACAAGAGACGCTTCCCCACGGAAATTTTTGCAATTCCCATTATAGTGACAATTTGTTCAGTCAAAGGTCACCATTCCGCAGGTGTTCGTTTTATTGTTTTTCATTTCGACATCCCGCAAAATGAATTAATTTAGTTTTAACCCAATTCTTCTCATGTCAGGTACAACCATTGGTTGCCGAAGGCTGTCAACGAAGGCTGTCAACACATGACTTGCTCTTGACTTGTTCGCACAAACTGAGAATCACTTTTAGGCGGTCATCTGGTCTATTGTACATATCTTGATTCTCTGGGAACAATTTTATTATCATTCTATCTTTCCTTATATTGTTTAATACTTTTCACGCTAAGTTATTCTCGTTTTCATTGATATTCCAAGTAGACATTATTATTATTTATTACCAGAAACCCAAATAGTGTTACACAAAGAGTAGCTGCATAAAAAGTAACAGTCTCAGATTAAAGTAGAACGCCACGCCACTGCGCCGGCTAGCCGCGCAAAGGTGAATACATTAAAACTCAATCTACTAGACAGAGACACATACACAATTACGAATTACCGTTCGAGGCTTGCTTAGACGTACAAGAATCTTTCCAAACTTACATAGAGAATTTTCTACGGTTCTAATGCACGTGATACGTGATTGACCAATGAGAACTGACCGAAATAAAAATGAAATTACTAAAGTTTTGTCTTTTTGTCTGTATTCACACAGTCTCTGACGAAGCTTTAATGAAAATGAAACATGTTAGATTGAAATACATTTCCTATTTGTTCTTTATCTTATCATCTTGTCGGGTTCCGATCCATATTTCATCTGCTTTTTATTTTTAACACACACACACACACACACACACACACACACACACACACACACACACACATCTTACTTATTATAAAACGCAGATTGTGTGTGTGTATGTGTGTCTGTAACGTTTATATATTGGATCGGGTTTCCTACATTTTTTAGCCGATTTCAACAAAACTTCACAGGACTACGTAAAATTACCTTGTGGTGGTTCTAACAGCGCCGAAAATGGGAAAAACACAATTGTTTTTTTAATAAAATCAATTTGAAAACACGATTAATACACATCGTGCGAATGAAAGGGGGACAACTCACATCGTGTTAAAAAAAACCACGTTGTTTGTGTGTGTGTGTGTGTGTGTGTTCGTTTATGTATGGGATCGGATTTCCTACATTTTTCAACCGATTTCAACAAAACTTCACTTTTTTTTTTGGCAGGTAGTGTTTCTTATTGTCTTGTACAATTTTTTCTTTATTTATACATTCAGAATGCTTTAAAAATTCCATTTACAAGACAATTGTTTATAATAAAATTCTATTCAATCGGGAGACTCATCATAACGATTGAAAACAATGTTTTTGTTTGAGTTTGGGTTTGACCAATTCGTAAAAAAAAACAAAAAACAAAAAAAAACAAAAAACAAAAAAAAACAAAAAAAACCTAAGACATGCGTGTCCGTCAACCTTAAACAATAATCTGATGATCTCTACTGATTGTACGAATCCAAACATCGGATAATTCCGCACTTTAGGGCCGTTTTTACAATTCCCTTTGCAATTTGTTACAAGGCAGATCAATAAGGCATTGGTTCTATTTGAAATTAATTCAATATTTAAAAGAAAGTATTAAGAAATAATTTAAAAATGCCGACGTAAGAAATCTGATAGACAAAAAACAACAATATTTCGAAG